CGTCCCATCGAGCACCTCTCGCCGATATCCCACTCTCATTCTGAATAATGACGCCGCGTTGTCATACACAAAATCCGAGACAGTGCTCCTCATCGTCGCGTTTTCGCGCGTCATCACGTCAATCGACGACGATTGCCTCAAGTCTCTCTCTCTCTCTCTCTCTCTCTCTCTCTTTGATCCGGCATACAATGTGCAGCTTAAGAAGAAACGTTGACAGCTCCATTTGTGCGGCATTCAGAGATCTCGCCTCGATCATAACCGACGACGCCCATTGTCGCGGCGCTCTCGCGCGTTCGCGCGATCCAAAACCCTTGATTAACCCTTCGACGGGGTGCATTCATATCACAAGCGATACGCGAGTTCGGCCCGGCGCGGTCGAACGCTGGCGAAACGAATGGCGAGGCCGTTAAGTCGCCGAGCGAAGCACCTGTGAGGCCACCTGTTACCCGGTTTCACCGCGGGATTGTCGCACGAGCCCGCGAAATGCCCGCCAGGCAGATTGCGAGAGACGTCAGGCGAAAATGATTAATAAGAATCGGCTCATCTGTTATACCGCGTGTGCAATCTCTCCCTGGAATGCTGCCTCAATTGAATCCCAGGTCGTAGAGCCGCGCGTTTGCACAATCACCGCGTGTTCATTACTTATTCTGAATCGATCAACTATTTTGATAGGTTTAAAATCGTCTGGTTAATAATAATAATAATAATAATAATAATAATAATAATAATAATAATAATAATAATAAGGTCTTGAAGACGGAATTTTCTTATAAGCAGGGTAAATATTCAGCACACGGAAAAATATGTGTGTAAAAAAGATAGAAGTATCTTAGAAAATTTGAATCCGTATCTCAATCTGTATCTATACCTCTCTATAAATAATATAAATCTTTCAGTTCGCCGCCTCAAACTGTTTATATTAAAACTTTAAAGAATGGAGGAAAAATTGCTATTAATTAGTTATTAGTGATGATAAATGAGATTCAATTAAGACTCTTATAAAAAAAAGAAAATAAGATGAATAGATGGTCACAAATTACCAAGATATATCGATATTTTTAGAACGTATCAGAAGGAATTTCGGTAAAAAAGAAACGCGGCGGTGGTGCTTCGAGCTTGGTCGGATCCAGTGACGCAATTCCCAAGTACATAAATAAATCCACCGGGCATATTGAGCGGTTATATTTCATTGGCGGGCAAAAAATGTGAGCGTCCCTCGGAAATGTGACGTCTCAATCCGTCTCTGGGATCTCGTCGATATTCCGAACGGTCAATTAAGGTATGCCTCCCAGATGTCCCCTGTCTGGTCTTTGCGCGCACATATACGTCGACGACGACGACCGACGACGATAAGTCGAACGAGAAAACGGTATAACGCATCGCGCGATATCTCGCTTCTGCCTCGACGGGTGCTCTCTCATGCTTATGCCTTCGATAATCTTTCTTCCTGCTCCTCTGCGACCGTCTCGTTACTTACTCCTTATTTATCCTGCACTGGATACGCTGGAAGATACAATCTGCCGAAGGATCCGTCGAAGGCGAAGAAACCTGGCGCAGGCAAGCGAGAAGAGAAAGCGAGATTCCCTAGCCACCCAAGAAGAAATGCCGTAATAATTAATATGACCGATCAAAGGGATGATACCGATGCCCCGGCGGTATCGAAGTGCCTGGACCGAAGGGACAGGAATTCTTCGAGATTCGAAGATTAGATCGGTACGCAAATGTGAGTGAAATAGGACACTGTACTTCGTGGCCGGGGGGTATAATGAATAAAACTTCTCGCTGCTCGTCGATTATTCCTGAAGCTGAAGATATAAAATAAATGAAGAGCTCGGGGCGATGACTGACTAGAGCTGTACGAGCAAGAAACCTTGTCAATTTCTTGGCGTACGCTCATTTACGGATTCGATTACGGCGCCAATCAAGCATTCTTTCATTCCTTTGAGAAATAGCATATTAAATAAGCAATGACTTTAAGAGCTGCAGGGAGCACCGAATCTCATTAATATTTATGACTTTTTGTCGCCATTCTACTTAATATACTTAAAAGATATGATAAAATAGAAGCTTTTAAACATTATAAAACATTTTATCATAGAATTATTTTAATTTTATTTATTCCATTTTTAGAACCATTTTTACTCCAGAGAGCACAGAGCTTTCAATATTAAAAATATCCCTAAAATATAAATTTAATGGCTATTAAACCAAATAAAATAGTGTAAGTACAGTTTAAAATACGCATAGTAATCGCGAGATTTCAAATAATACAAGTCACGCCGAATGATTATCGAGGTCGGGCAGAAATTGATGAGCTCTGTAATGAACGTCAGAAAAGTTCTATCCTATATGCGCGAAAGTCGGCATGATCAAAGCCGTGGTACACGTCAGAGGATGAATTCTGAAATTGCTGCGTCAAGCGGGGGCACTCGATTTTTTTTCCAAAGAAATTCGACTTTTCAAAATAGACGTGTCCCGGACGTCTCCCTTTATTCTCTCGCGTAAATAATATCCTTGCGTCTTTACGCGGCGGATTATCGGGGCTGCACTCGCCTCTTAATAGACGCTTTATTCCGAAACGCGATATACCTTAAAAGCCGAGAACGATAAAGACGGCCGATTAATTTACTGCGGCACCATAATCCCTTCAAGGTGAATCCTTCCTCCCTCACCGAATATCTTATCGTTTCTTTCTCTCTCTCTTTCTCTCTCTTTCTGCTTCTCTGATGGTTTGTCTCTCATCCTGTCTTTCTCATCCTCTCTCTTCCAACAAAATAGAGGCTGTAGAGCAACATGGCGGAGGTTTTATTCCCGCCTAATGGATAGAGAGAGAGATCGACTCGGGGCTTATCATTTTAATGGAAACCTTTATGGAGGCCACTTTAGGTGATATCTCCTCGCGTCCGCAACGAATTCTGGGTGGTTGTTCAATGCGCTGGACAAACTGCACTTTTCAGCCGCATAATGCGCAGCCTCCACGCTCCGGTTATTGTGCTAATGGAAAGACATTCTAACAATCTTTCCGCTGATCATATACCAATTCGTTTCAGAACGCTACTCGAATGCAGTCCTAAAAACGGTCCGTAAAATTCGCACAGTTCTTTTCGAAGAATTCGCTGCAAGATTTGATTTCACCATCGAACTAAACATTCATATAGAGATTGTTAGTAATAGCGTTATGCGCGAAAATATATTCGGATGGGTCCGCTGAATATATGTATTTTCTAAAAAATAAAATTTTAAGCGCTTTCGAACAGCTATAAATCTCTAAAGAAGATTCGTATTTATTATTCATCAGCCAGTAAAACATCGTTGAGATGGCTGATGATCGCTTCCAAGCGCCTACATTTTCATAAAGCGTATAATAAATCAAAAATATGGGGTGAAGTCGGTGTCGTTCCGCTCTTTAGCGATTATCCAACAAAAGAAATTCTGTGTCCGGAATAAGCACCTGCCTCTATGTTTGCAATGTTAAGAGGCAGCTGTTGGCTGCGTTCAAGAATAGAAAAAAAAATTTATATTATGATTTTATAATTTTAAATTATTACGCCTATATAATTTTTAATACAAGTGTTGATTAAAATCGAGTTTGAAAGATACATCTTATTTTATCGTAATATTAATCCGATCGTTTTTGATTATTTACAAATCAACGTTAAAATCAACGTGAAATTATGTTTGTATAAAACTATCTTTAAATATGATTGTTAAATTAATATAAAAAAAACTATACCTATCAATTTAAGTTATTATTCACATTTTAATTAATTCCTATTCAAAATCTATTTTAACTCCAAATACAAATTTAACTGTTTAATTTATATCGATACTTGATAAATCTCATTAGGAAATCATCAAAGCCTTCGGAACTGCAACTTCCGCAAACCGCGTGTGTGATCCATTCGAACCGCACGTCGTGACAGTTGATAACAGATACATATCGACGCGATAATTAATGGCGACTATCTCGCGGCGGTCATCAACACCAATGTAAACATCGGGCTTTATGTGGGTCAAGCTCTTGTGCGGACCACGTGTTCGCGCGAGAGTGCGTATACCATACCACACTCTCGATCACACTGCTCGTAGATGCACTTACACGGTCATGCGCGACGCTAGACGCTCTCGATCAGGGACGAATGAGTAAGAGGTAGGATTTTAAGAGGCGTGAGTTTCGTCATTCTCTCCTTTTTCTACCATCTCCTCCGAATGGGAGAGGAAACGGTACTTTCCAGGTACTACGGGTAAAAGGGACTCTTCGGCCAAGCGACGCCCACGCCCGAGACGGCCGGCGCACCGCTTCGCTTTCTACTTTTCTAGACGGCCCCGATGATCTACGACCCAAGGGTTCTCCGCTAGGAAGAACGGAGAGTACGCTAAACTCGTACTAGTACTAAAAGCTGACTCGCAGCAACTCTTATATGCGCTCGATAAATTACGTTACTTCGACAATGTCAGATTCACTGATGCTCGCAAGATTACTGTCTCTCTTTTATTACCGACATGACCACATTCCAGCGAGACTTTGTCGCTCCGAACGTGAACACTTGCGTTATAAAAAAAAGAGAAAGTAAATCTAATTGTATGATAAATAAATATACTTAAAATAATACTTATAAAACATTTAAACTAATAATTGTATCAATTGTAAGATGGAATAAATATATGCTATAGTATTTTCCAATAATAAAATCAATAGTCATTATAAAATCTTTAAAATAAACGGTAAAAATGATTAAAAATGTATAATAGTTTATGTTTAATCGTAAATAAATAATTCTATAATTTATACGTTAGTTTTGTAACACTGAAAAATATTGCATTGTTATATTTATTCCAATTTTATATGTAAAACCGAAGAATTACGATCAAATATTCATACTTACTTATTGGTATATCTTTACTCGTTATAATACTTTTCAAATCGATCGTAATTCGTTTTTTTTGCAACTTTCCCTTTCTCTCTCTTTCCGAATAAGGAAAGTAGCTATAAAACTCACTTTTCCCTTTGACGAACTCGGTTGAATTGACATCTGTAGTACTCGGTTGAATTAACGCATCGTAGCTACCGGCGACGATCAGTAGGAGGAATGTGACGCCGAGGAAGTTGCAGGTCAACAGCGCTCGTGGCCCGTGTCGGTGGTTGAACATGATGAGCTTTCATGCCCTTCACGAACCCGTAGGCCTTGCCAAGGTGACCCGAGTGAAGATTCCCTCTTCTGCTTCGTGGACTCGCCGATTGTCACGAACAAGGAGAAGATCGGAGGAACTTCGGAGTACTGTTTCCGCCGCTGCCATCGCTCTCCCTTCTTCACCGTGCATGTCACATGTCTGGCATTAAAGTTGTCATGAGTGTCTGAAATGAGAAAAGTGGCAATCAGTGGAAAAGTAGCGCACGATGTTAAGAGAGCAATGCATTTGCTCGCTGTGCGTTTGATAAAACGCGACTCTCTAATCTCTTAGCATAATTTCCTATGCTTGGTCTCTCCTTGCATTGAAAGAGAAAAAAAAGGAGAAACGGTGCCGTGAACTTCATTTACCTATGTTTTGTTCACTTTCTTTTTTTTTCACCACGCGTTAGCTGTATCCTCGTGAGTTTTATATATACTGATGCAAGATAAGTATTGCATATTTTAAACGGAAAGAAAAGTTTAGGGTGCCCATAACAAAAGATTTGAACAATCACATTTGGAATTAAATGTTCGGTGAAAATATAGTTATGTACGTTTTTATGCGAATATTAAGCGAGAGATGAGGCGCGGAAGACAATCAGTGTAAATCATCCCGCGTTGAAATCTTGGTTATTTTCATTAGCACTTCTGAAGTGTTTCGCGAGTTACGCGTGTAAATCAATAACTATCAGCCAGTAAAATGAGTTATGCCGATTGGCGTGTTTGCAGCACGTGTTTCTAAACTACCCCGGCAACGATATTCATTATATCCGCCTGAATAATACTATGTATGCAGCCTCTATCATATCACGTAATATGCGTTGCATGTCGTATACGGCGCTCTGATGAATAGCACGACAGAATCGTAAATAATGCCCGCGTCTCCGGGCAAGCTGTTCATTTTAAGTCAATTTAACCATAGGTATAATTCCAGTTAATTAACGGGACAAATTTATCCACTTTATTTTATAAGAAAATAAACATTAACGTTATAGGTGGTGACATCAAATATTAATTTCGTGCAAATTATTTACTTGTGTAATTAATTAAAAGGCATTAAATTAATATTCATTTTGTACGGTACAGGTACAAGCGAAGGGGGAAGATTATATTCGTTTTAATTAAACGTTTAACCTCACGTTTTTACCGTGTATAACAACCCGCTTCTCATTAATTTAATCTGTATCGGCGTCAAATGGTTTTTACACTCGGTCTCCAACCCTCAACATCAAAAAAGCGTGCAGCTTATACGAAAAAACATTCACTCGTCTCTCTATAGACCGGTAGTGTTGTGTCATCGCCTCGTTTGCGGACTACCTTCGACGGAATGTACCGTGCTAGAAGATGGCAAGGGAGAAATAAGAAGAAACGAAGACGCGAAAAACGAGGGGATGATGACGGAGAAAGAAGAGGGGAGGGGGAGGGCGAAGATCGAAAAAGAGAGGAAGACAATGCGGCTAACAGCAGGTGTCTGCTCGTCTGTTCATTCCTCTTTTTTTTCTCTCTCTCTCGTCTCTCCATTCCCTCCTTTTCGTCGCGATCTCATCCAGGGACAGAGATCATTCCGGGCACTCACTCGGTATCCCTCTTTGTTCTTTCGCACTCCCCGCGGAGTAGCGAAACACGAGTTGCCTTATTCGGATTGCGACAAGCGGGGATTAACTTAAACAAATGACGTCGGGCTGCGCGCGCGGCGGCGGCAGTTTGATTGCCGGTGTCTCGTTAAGGTCGGCCTCTTCGGATCGTCCCTATTAATTACGATCGACACCCGACGACGGGCCGTCGACGACAAGGCGCTCGGATCGTGTCGCTCGTGATAGTGCTACTACGTGTTCCTCTCCGCCCTCCGCGGCGCGATTCTCCTCGGTCGTCGCGGTACCACGCTGTCTGCCAACGGGAAACGTGGGAGATCCCGGAGTGCCGCTCGAATAACAGCGATCGTAACATGTCGCGTGTGCACGAGTCTCCACGCGGTGCAGACGTTTCCGCAAACCATTACGAACCCGCAAAAAAAAAAAGAAAACAGAGGGAATCGATTTAATATACCGACATGTTTGCATTCTAACAATAACACATAAAACTTTCCGTTATCTCAATGAACTTGAAAGTCCAACACTTTCAAGATTTTTCTTTGTTTTGACACAGAATAGTGAACGTGTTTCTGATACACGTTACATTTGTAAATCACCAGGGTTTGCATAGCACTGGTGACTCCGTCAGAAATGCGACGACACGGTACGCGGATTATACGAGGCGGCGAACCGGTTTCAGACATACCGTTCGAATGGCGGAATTAACCCGAACTCAAAGGACTGGGGGCGCCGTCGACACTTCGCTTAATTGCACGGCCGGGACTTGCAAATTTTTATCGTTCGTCTCAGGGGCCTTTAATCCTATCTTTATAGCTGTTTCTGATTGCGACCGTGACGCAAAGCGCGCGCATAGCATAAACATATTTTAAATCTTCTTGTTATTCGTCTCGCGATTTTACAAGAGTCTGTGCGTAAAGGGTGGCGACTCGAGTAAACATAAATTTAAGTATACACTGTATTATTAGATATATACATTATAGGTATACTATAACGCACTCTTTCATAATGAAAGTTTAATATAATAGCTCTTTCTAGTAGAAAGTTCATTCTGTTATTGTCGCAATCATTTTGTCTCGAAACAATTTCTCAATATAGTGTTATAATAGAAATTGATTATTTGCCTGCTTGCTAACACAATGCAAGAAAAATAATTTCAAAGATCCGACAGGAGAATTAATGACGGTAGACGTACATTTTCTTAGTACCTAGATACAATCTGACAAAGTGTCATGAATTTCCGTAACTTGCATAATAAGAACTCGTTAATGTTTTTGCATTGCGGAGGAGGGGGGGGGGGAGAGGGAAAGAAGCATTTCTCTTTCTCAACTTGCGACACGTTTTGCGACTCGCGACGCTTCAGTGGTGAAATTTCTCCGCGATTAAGAAAACCACGAAATATAATAATTTACAGTCGCGATAAGAAATAAAACGGCGTCAGCTCCTGTTACTGGCAGCTGAGCGATCGTATAACATTATAAACAATATCCACGCGGCTCTCCATCACAACGTATCACTTCTGTCTCCGCAGGTAAAGATCATATTTAACTAATTTTTTAACAGGTACTTGCTGTGTTTTTAAGTAAAACATACTGTATGTGATAGAATATTGCTTTTAATACAACATATTACGTATTTTCGTTATCGATTCAATTTTTATTTGTCATTACATTTAAACTATCATGTAAATATAATGTATACATTTTAAATGTGACATAAACGATAACAAAAATATCGATAAATTTTCTTCTCGTTTCTCTATTATTCTCTCTTATTTTTTCAATTCTCAGTCTCGTATACGTATGTTATGTAAGGCATACATTAATACTGGGCATCTTGTATGTATATAGTTTTCGTTTTCGAATTATATTATTCTAAGCTTTTCTGTGTTAAACTTCCAGATAAAATCACGATTTAATAAACTGTATAAAAAAAAAACGAAGGCTTTCTTGCGTTTTTCGTTTCTCATAAGCGAAACGCATTTGTCACTGTTGCACCAAACAGATCAGTACGTTCTCTTCGATACTTCTCAGTGACTAATCGTTGATCGTCTGAGGCGTGTCCGCTCCAGGCCTCGTTAACTTTTCTCAACGTGTACCTGCGTAATCTACCCTTCCCTCATACCTGATCCGATAAGAAGTAAACGTCGAAGGCGCCCTGCGAAAAACGACGTCGGTCTCTCGGCGACGCCGTGCACTCTCGCGTTTGTTGTTTGCAAACTGGCGTATGCACCGATCGCACGGGCTTTTTATCAACGTCTACAAGGGGAGATTAAGAGGCGTGGTTCTCCGTGTAAGCGAGATTTCCAAGTGAGAACCGCTGTTAGGAGTGTGGAAGAAATGGTGCAGCGAGAAACCTTCTCTGGGGATCCGTTAAGTTTAAACGGACAGAATCAGATTTTCAACTTATTCTCTTACTCGAAAAGCTCATAATTTGGCCAATTTCGCCAATTTTGGAATGAACAAATTTCGGCCCATTTCTTCTTTGTTTCATATATCTTCGAAAAATTATACAATATTACTTTACACTATTCTACAATATTTAAATGTTCGCCGAAGGACTAAAATCTACCTTAGATTATATATAGCTATGTATAAAGCAGGAAACTTCATTTATAAAATTCATAGAAAATATCGATTTGGATTTTTTAAATATAGCTTCACACAGCGACATTTCTTGCATACTTTATAGTAATTTCATTTACACTTTAAATGACACATACAAGCGCACCAATAATGAGGCATCATCAATAAAAAAAACAAAGATATTTAAAAAAATTCAAGCTAAGGGAAAGAAGCCTGGTAATCAGAAAAAAGTTCAGAATTTTTCTCTGCGAAATCAGAGAGAGAGAAAGGGAAAGGTCCTTCGAAGGGAGACTAACGCAAAGCATCGTAGAGGCGAGGAGCTTCGAGAAACAATAAGAGAAAAAGATTTTGCCATGCGACATCGATCGTATATATCGTCGCGAGGACCTATACGTTCCTCGTCCTTCGTCTTACCGACCCTCATTCCCTCCGTCCCCTCGCACTCGGTCGGACTCGGGCACAAAAGCGGCGTCCTTTGAGGGAGGGCACGAAACAAAAAGAGAGCCGGTGAACACGGCATGCAACCGTGTTAACTGCGCTGCTTATGCATTCATATCCTTGTTTCGCGACAACCTGCTGATTGTTTCCACAAAACGCGACAACCCCCTTGTAGCCCGTGTGTCCGGGGCCGGTTTTTCGGCGGATCGTGAGGGAGAGAGCGCGGCCGTAGGTGCCGCTAAGGACGCGCGAGTCCGCCAGCAAAAAGGATCAATTTGTATGCGGGTGAACGCTCCCCATTTCTGTCGCCGTTTCTTAACAGCGCCGGCCGTGTAACGTTTGCACGACAATGGTGACGGCGAGATATAAGGGCGCTCAAGAAATGCGCGTGTATACCGGAAGACAAACAATTGAAGAGTCTGAGGAACAACAATGTGCTAATCCACACGAAAGAGAGAGAAGGAAAGGCGAATGAGGTTCTAAGATTTTGTCTGCTGATCCCGACGATGATTTTTATTTTTAAAAACAGTTATATTTTTGAGAGGATTAAAATTAATGTAAATGAGTGATACACAGAAGATTTATGTATTACAAAAAATGGCTTAGCGAATATTTTAATAAAGTTCGTTTGAGGTATACATATAATTTAGTAATATCTATTAATATATATATATATATATTTATTAATATTAATATATATATATATTAATA